AGAATGAAAGAGTATACAAGTATCAAATTGCACAAAAAAAAAAAAAAATAAAAAAAACTATTTTAGTATAATTAAAAAAGGCCAAGAATAAGAAAAACACAAAAATATTACTTTTTTTTTTTTTTTGCTCTCACTCTCTGACAGTGGTTGCGTTGTTGTTTTTTTTGTTAGATAGAGAGAGATGATAATTAAGGATATTAGAATAGTTTCATTTTAATTTTTATTAATTTAAGGTATTGTTATTTGCTTTTATTTTTTTTTCAGTTTTTCACAATAAAAATAAAAGCTGAAAAATAATATTTTATATTTTAACATTATTTATTTTTTAAAAAGTTTAATAATTAAATTAATTTTGAAATTGTTGTTGAAAAACTGGTAATATAACATTTTATATGTGTATAACATACGATATGAATATGATAAATGAATGGTTGAACGGATGCTAAAATAATAAGTTAATGGAAATGATGAGGTATGAGGTATTAGATATAATTTACAAAAAAAAAAATAATGTTGGGTTTACAAAAAAAAAACAAAACTATGTTGTTATTTTGTATAATTTAAAAAGTATAATAGTTATGAACAATTGTTTTTAATGCTAAATTATATTATAGTATAGAATTATGTTTTATCTAGTTATATATTATTATAATAGTATAAAAAATATTGATGTTATATGAAACATATATATTTCAATTTTAATTACCAATGTAACGAATATAGAAATAATAATAATGAAAAAATTATGCAGAGTTGGCCAAAGTCAATATGGCAGTGAAACTCATAATTGAACGAATAGTATCGAAAGTAAGCTGTTATAAGGAATTAAGACGTATCTTTAATAATATTATTGATTATTAGAACGAAATGTAATTCTACATTTATTTTATTGTAAGACTAAGTTAGACAATAACAATAACGCGGGGAGTTCGGTATAGGGCTGTCCCCTTTGGCCAGTTTTCAATCTTCAACATTGTTATAGATGGAATTATGAGGAAAACAAAAGAAGTAAGAAATGGGATCAATTGGAGAATATTATTGAATATGATGATAATTAAAAAGGATTCTAATAATATTCGATTAATTGTATTTTTATTTAAATTTTGTATAAGGTTTATTTACTTTTACATTATATTTGAAATTATAAAGAAATATGTGTTAATATGCTCTTCAATAATTCATATATCTGTATCGGTATTGGTTTAAGAACTTATGTATTGTTGTATTTATTTTTACATATATATTATTACACACATATGTACATAACCATAATAAAAAATATGTACATATATGTACATATAATATGAATTTAATATAAATTTGATATTATTATTTATTTAAAATAATTAATAAATTCTGAAATTAGAAAAAAATTAAAACAATTTGAATTTTAAATAAATTATTGAACTTAATATACATATATATATATATATATATATATATATATGCATATATTGTATGTATTATGCATAACCTATATATAGTTACATGAATAAATAAATATTCTTTTTAATATGTATGTATATATGTAGATATTTTTAATAATAATTGTAAAATAATAAATTGTAATTAAATCGAAACTTTATGTATTTTTCAAAAAATATTAATGACATTTTAATATTTGATTGATGTTTACAAAATATGAAACTATGTTAACAAAATAAAGGGAAGGAAAAAAATTTGGTAATATGTAAATAATACTATTTTGCCCTACTATAAGGTTACATTCTAAGAAACAATGAAAAAGTATTTTAAGACTTTTAAGATTCATATATTAAATAGAATTTACTAGTAGTACGTTCACAAGAAGATTTCTAATAGATATAACTTGCTAAATATGTGATGTATATTTCCTTTTAATCAAGGATGATGTTTGAAGCATTCACTTACACATAACAATTCTAAATTGAATAAATTCATATTTAAAATTTAATTTATATCGGTTTTACCATAATCTACTCAATTCGAGAAATGCTTTGTTATTATTCTTGAAAATTAGTGAACATGTCAATTAATTATAAATTTTTGAATTCGACTTGAACACTTCTGGAAAGCTTATATTGTATACGATTTTCCATATGAAATTATTATTATTTTCTTTTGGCAAAGGAATTTTCGACATATTTGTTCAAATGTTATGTATTAATTACCTTAAAATTTTCCTATCAAATTCATACAGATTTCAAATATATATAAGTCCTTAATAAAATATTTTTAAACATTTAAAATGAAAATAACAAAATGTTGTTGAACTGTTTTTAACATTTTTTAAATTAATTTATTTGTGAAGTTGAGTAAATAGAAGAGAACTGTGATACAGTTAAAGAATTCAAAGAAACTTCAATAATAAATTGAAAAATTGCAGTTTGACACTTTTAACTAATTGTTTTAATATACCCAACATCTTCGTGAAGGTTATATTAAATTTGGTATGATGTTCGTAACCAGTATCTACGTCTCCGCTATGGACATATATATATATATATTCTTGACCAGCGTAAAATTCTGCGTTCATTTATATATGATCGTCCGTCCGTTCGGTTGCACGATAACTCAAAAACGAGTCAGGTAAATACAACTAAACTTTCACAAGTTTTTTTTTTGTACCAAATAGTGTCTATTGTAATTGGACCAATTTGGACAACGGGTTTGGGTAGTTGCCATACAACTCAAAGAGTTTATATTAAATATTTCAAAAATACCTAATAAGAGGCATAAATACGAAATTTTGTGTACGTGTGTTTAGTTATATTTTACATATTCTTTAAAATTTTAATGGGATGGCTGCACCAGTCCGGGTTGCTGCTATACAATTCTAATAGTAAATTTTATATATTCAGAAAAATAAAAAAGAATCAGGTCCATGAAACTTGGCAGCCATGTGTCCAATTATAGGTCAGACATATTACAGTAGTTTCTATAGAACGGCTTCACATATTCGAGTAATTGTCATGCATCAACGAATATGGTGTAGGGTATGATTCAATCGACTTATTCCGATTGAAACGTTTTTACTTGTTTATAATTTAAAATTGTGCCAATCGAATGAACAAAATTTTCAGTTTTCCGTTTTTTTTTAAATGTTATCGTTGCATATATTGCATATGAAATGCTCATTTTGCAGAAATTAGGAATGTTATGAACGATATTGTGTTTTTCGCTGTAATATTTTAATTTTTTTTTGTTTGCTTTCTTTTTTATTGTTAATGAAAAAACACGTCATTCGAAGAGAAGAGGGAGGAAATGAACATGTTAACTTTAAAAAAAACTATAAAAATTCAATTTTTCTTTTCATTTTATTTTTTTTTTTGTTTGATAATCATTTTATAGTGATAACGCACATATATGTAAACACAAAATCGTTAAAATTAATAGAAAAAATTCAATAAGAAAAACACAAAATCAAACATTTTAACGTTGCGCATTTCAATATTTACTATCCCAATATATACATATATAAATATATTTACACAAGCTTATACATCTGTATCACTATGTACATACATATGCATATTTTTTATTTACATTTATATTAGAATATTAAATATATAAGCATGCATGAGTTGATTCTAATATAAGTAAAAAAATAAACAAAAAAAAAAATTTTTTTCCTTTTTGGAAAACCTTCAAAAAAAAAAGTGAAAAGCCCCTGTAGCATTTTATGCTTCTGTATACACGGTTTTACTCTTTACACATATTTTCTCGCTTATTTTTTTTTCTACCATTATATAGAAGAAAAAAACTTTTAATATTCGTTCTTTTAGAAAATAATGGTAACTTTTTATTGCATAAAAATATAAATAGTCAAATTAAAAAAAAAAAAATGATTTTATATTTTTTTAAAGTAGCTGCATACTATGAAAATTAATTCTTGTTCTTTTATTTTCAATTTGTGTATGAAATGTTTTACATTTTGTTGAAAAATCCTTAAAATAAAAAGAGTCTTTGAGCTGTGAAAAAATTTCGAAGTTCAATTCTTTTATTCAATTTCTCACATTTCTTGTCATATTTTCATATTAATTATTTGGAACAGAACTCAGTTAACATTATCCATCTCTAAGAAAAATAATCGTATATCGATAATCTTGAAAATATTGTCAAAATTGCAAAATTTTCAAAGTCTATCAACTGCTAGCTGTGGTTTATCGACTCTATCGATCATACTCCAACAACTATTTAACTAAAATTAAGTTATTTTTGTTTAAAAAATCGTTAAAATTATGAGATTGCCCGTTTAAATATTCAAAACTATATTCAGTAATAAAAAATTTGATATTGCTCTTGAATGCAATCTTATCAATTTATGTACATTGCCTTTGATATTGTAGTTTTTAGTTTCTGTTACTCTTTACAATGAAAATATTACTAAAAGAGCAATTTTTTTTTCTGTAAAATTAAAAACTTTGTGTATGGTTAGAAACTTGCCAATAAAATATTGTAGTTTTCCCCATAATATATTTTTTGTATTCACTGTAGTGAAAATTTTCCAGATTTTAATATTTTTATAAGTTTAATAAAAATGATATGAGCAAAAATTAGTGTAGCATCATAAAAGGGAATAAAAGGTAAAAAAGAGGTACTTTTTAATCCTTAGAAATATTTTGGATACAAATGTATATAGATATAGTAAATTATTTCGTTTCAATCTCTAAAGAAAAATCACCCTCAGTTAAAATAAATTTTTGTTATTTTTTTTTCTTTCCAAAAATTAATAATTCAAATATTACAAATATTATTTCATATATAAAAAAGAAATGGGAAATGGGTAAAAAAAAATTTCTTCCAACAGAATAAATTAAAAATTAAATTTTTGTTTTCTTTGATTACATTATATGAAAAATTCTTATTTTTAATAAAAGTTCAAAATTAAATTATATATATATAAAAAAAAATTGTTAAATCCTTGAGTTGATTGATTTTTTTTTTATTTTTATTAAAATTAAAAAATTCAAAAACAAAACTATTAAAAAATAAAATGAAAATTTTCGTTATTGACTTACCATTGGCGGATACGACAAATAACGATCACTATTCATATTATAATAGGAACCATCCATTGGTGGTGCTGGTGATGGGGACGGAATATATGTTCCTTTTGTTACTAACATTTGATCATCTCTTGTTCGATGATCATTGAACATATGTGATGCATTATTATTATGTCGTGGATGCGGCAGTGTTCTTGCATTAGCTATTTAAAAAAAAAAATAAAATAAATATTTAAATTAAAAATTGATTTCAATTTTATTTTGCATGAGAAAACTTAAATAAAAATATCAAATATTTTGTTTTCTTTTTCATATTTATTATATAAGAGTAATTGAGTAATTTTCTTAAACTATATGTTTATAATGTACAAGATTTTCTTCCAATTTAGGATGTTATTCATGTAAATATCTTTCTTCAGATATTTCACATGTTCACATACGAGGACTACTATAATGTTAATGCTATATTAAACGAACAATTTTCTATTTTTCATTAGAAAGAATTAAAAAACAACTAAATCTTATTTTACTGGTCTTAAACGTTTACAATAAGACAAAAGTATAGTATAGTGTGATATATGAGTAATTATTATTCGAATTGAATCATAACATTCATGACAATAACACATTTTACTCTAATCTCTTACATTTTTAAAATTCTCTTTAAATAAAATTTTGAATAACATGTTCTCAAATATTAATTGCTGCAATTTCTTGTATATTTGAATTTTGTCCATTACTACATTTACTATCTTAGAAATTATTTACTATCGCTTAAATTAGCAAACCATAGAATTTTATATATCAAAAATTTTTTATAGTAACCAAAATAATCAGAATCAGTGTTGCCAACTCTTTTTTGCTGAATTTATCATACTTATTTCAAAAATTCCCATTTTTCCTTTTTCAAATCCTATTCTTTCTCATATAATTTCCTTTTAAGAAATTTTTTATATATATTCGATACATCTAGCATTGTACTTAAATAAAATACGTATTTACTAATTTAACAAAACAAAAATACTCTACACCCTTCAATTCCTCAAAATTTCCTCAAAATGGGGAATTTCTTACTATTTGGAAACACTGAATTCAGAACTGCAATTTAAAAATCTTCAGTTTAGTGTTCTGTCAAATGAGAGATAGAAAGAGAGAGAGAGAGAGAGAAATCGTTTAATAAAAATCCAAATTTTCGGAAACTCTTCTCATCTTCCGCTATTTTTACGGAGATAAGAAGAATTCGTTTCATAAATTCTTCTTTTTCTCAATGTTTTTTTTAATAATAGAAAATAATAAAATAATGTTCACCTAACTACTTAAGCTGTCCCTCGAACTTTTTAGTTTTTATGTAGTGAATTTTAAAGCGTTTTAAAATTCACATTCTAGTATTTTTTAAGTTAAACTATTAAAAGTTTGTAGAACATTTTCTTTGAAAATTTCAAGTTTAAAGTAATTTTCATTAATTTTTTCTCCATTCAATTTTACGAAAGAAAGAAAAACTTTTTCTCTTCTTTGTTAAATAATATTTTATAACTAGATGCGAGAGTATGTGTGTTTAGTAATTTTTAATTAACCTTCAGTAGAAAATTTTTTTGTATTTTATTTTTTGCTTTTGTTTTTAACAGTTTAAAATTAAAATAAAATTAAAGGTTTATGGCGAAAAAAAAGAAATTATAATTTTTCATTGTTTTCACTATTAAAATTTTTAAAAAGCACCATTTTGTTTATTTCAAATGACTGGAAATAATTTTGTTTAATTTTCTATCTCATTTCTATATATATACCTATTTTATATAGAAGCTTTCATATTTTTATACATATAGAAAACCAGTTATATGATAATAAAAACAGTAAAAGGAAGATAACAGAAAGTAAAATAATAAAAACAAAAATAATAAAAAAAAGTGGAAACTTTTACCTGTGATTAATATGAAAACAGGTAATTCAATTACAAAGTTTAACTCTTGAAAGTTTTCTGAAATAATTAATTTAATACAAAACTTTTTTTTTTTCTACTTTTTTTTAACTTGCTATTTTTTGCCTATTATTTTAGCTTTCTAATTTATATTCCTCCTGCTTCATTTCGAGTGTTTTTTTTTCTTTTTCTGTTTTCTTATTTTTATTTTTTTTTTATGTTATTTTAGAACAAATTTATTTTATATTTAATTTTTCATTGCTTTTATTATTGTTTTCTATTTTTTTTTTGTTTTTTTTTTTATTCATCTCCATTTTGTTGAAATTGTGGAATATTATATTATATAATATATTCTTTGGCTTCAATTCATATCTGGTTATATGTTATTATTATGTTAAAGTTATACAAATATAAGTGATTCTCAAGTATAAGAAATATAGAGTATGTATAAGTAAAATAACATTGAATTTAAGTGGACTATTTTAAGAATAAAAGTGATCCTTCTAAATTAAAATTACAAGAGGTAGCTGTATTAACTTTAGCGCAGTAATCATAGAATAAACTACATTTTAAAATACGTATAACATGACAGGCATAATATTATAAAGAATAATAATATAATCATAAGGTGTAAGTGTAAAGATGAAATTAGATAGATATTTTAAAAATTGTGAATATTTGTGTAAAGTGGATCTTGTGAAAAACGAATCATTACTTTTATATTTGAAAAATAGGTAATTTAATTAAAAAAAAAATTTTATATTTTGCATAATTTTAGGCTCATTTTTTTAAAAAGTCGGGGAAAAATAAGTTCATTATTGTGAATTAAGTCTGCAAATGAACAGAATTATATGACTACTTTTTTAACTTGAATTTTCTGTGTGAATATGAGACTGGTGATAAGTTAGTTAATTAGAGAGGGGAGGTGTCACCCTGGACTGTACCACTTAACACTAGGCCGGTAGAAGTCCCAGTAGCATCCCTCCACAACATATCTCTGCCCGCTAAGTCAATTGACGTCTCTTGAAAAAGTTTAGCAGTTCATCAATAAGCGCCTTCAACAAATTCTCCAAGCCGTCAAACTAACATAATCAAAAAAGCGTCTCCTCCTTCGCATTAGGGCGTGATACTCGCAGAGTACGTTAAGTATATCCTCCACCTCCCTGATGTGATTGTCTGTTTTGATATTTTTCCAATGGTCAAATTAGGTCAAATTAATTTCCGTATTTTTAACCTTATAAAATAATGACCATCTTAAAGTAATTAAGTTCTGAAAAATATAAGGTATTTTTGAAGATTTTTCGATTGAAAACCACTGTTACAAAACTAGGCCGCCTGCCAAATAGAAATTGGAATAATGATGATATGAAAAAAAGAAAAATGGGAAAATGAAAGAGGTGGGCATATGAAAACTTTTATTTTGTTTTAAAACTGCCAAACAACCTTTAAAATATTTTATTTTTTTTTTGCTTTCTTTTTGCTGTTTTTCTTCTTTTTTTTTATTCTTTTATTCATGAGTTCTGGCAAAAAAAAAAAATTCTATTTTCAACAAAATATGGCTAAAAAAACTTTTCTCTAGTTTGTCTAATGATATATGTTTGGAAATCTGCAAAAATTTTCCACAAAGTCAAAAAAAAAAAAAAATGGAATAAAATAAAAAACTGGAGGAGACTTTTTAGTAAAAAAAAAAAATTTTTTTCCTTTTTGCTGTCATATAATCCCTTTCTTGTTTTTAGCTTTCTTTTTTTTTTTTTGAAGAATTACGACACATTTTAAATTTAACAAATGTTGTGGGTTTGTTTGTATGTTTATCGTACATATGCAAATGCCTAACTTTATATCATTTGCCGTTATAAGCGATTTTTTAACGGTTTTTCTTATTTTTTATTCTTGCTTGTTTTTTCTGGTTATGAAAGTTGTTTTTTTTTTCTTTTTTGCTTTATTTTGATTCTTTCAAATTATCCTTAAAATTTACAACAACTTGTAAATATATTATATATGAAAAAAAAATAACGATAAACGTTGAAAAATAAGGCAAAATATGAATAGAAAAAAAATGTAGGAAAAATTTGCAAAGTTCCTGATAAGGTAATCGTCAATCAAAACACACTCATCCACCTAACCATGTTACTATTACTATACTTTTGTTATATACTTATGCTAATAATTTATATTGTGTATGAAATGAAAATGAGATGTTCTTATGTTTGTCTGTATAACAGTGACTTGCAGTTAAAGTAGGTCTAGAAATTTTTATTCACAAAGTTTTCAAATTCTCACTTATTTTCTGTTACGGAAAAGTGATATGATTACATTAGAAAAATATTTTTCAGATAAATAATCACAAATTGCAGATTTAAAGTTGTTATTATTAAAGAAATTAATGATAGATTAGCTTGTTTTAGATAATTCAGAGTGGTACCGCTGGACCTCTTCTTTTTCTTCTCTATTTCCATACCGCATAAGGTCCAATAGCATTTACAGTGGCCGAATGGGTAGCAAGATGAGAGATGTTTCCTTTTTTTCCCTCACGGCAGCCTTTGCAAAGATAGTTTGCTGGGCGACTCATCGCCCTGGCACGATCGCAACTCAAACAATGTCCCATTATTAATTTTAATTAATAATATATTAAGAAACATATTATAAAATCTAACTTTTCGGATGTCGTTTAAAAAATTTTGACCCTTTTGACTCACTCCTTTCAAAAAACAAATGGACTACAATAAAAATACCATATTGCCTTGTGATCACTCCTTATTGTGATATTGTGTTAAGGTAATGAAATTTTACTTAATGATTTATTATTGATTCACCAGCTAACATAAATTTTAAATGGATTCAATCAAATACGATACAAGCTAAAATTAGCACAACTTCTATTCACTCTATGAAGGTAAATGGAAAAGTTATATTGCTTTAATTGTTAATATTGTTCCATTCAAATGAAAGCAAGTTGAAATGATTTTTGAAGACAAATATTAAAATAAATTTATCAGTAATTTATAAAAGTATAAAATTCTTAGAAGCTACTGCGTCTTAATTTTTTATATATATGTATATGAAATTTATTGAAACGAAAAAATAAGGATGAATACTTTTATACACATTTTTTTTTTTCTAAATACCTACAAGTGTGATATTTTATTAGTGTCTTGTGTTGGGATGTTTAAAAGTTAAACAGAAAATCATAACAAATATAAAATGTAAGAAAAAAAAAAGAAAAAAAAAAACATATAAGAAACATTTTGTTTCTCGTTCCTTTTAATTTAATGTGTTGCTAGGGAATAA